GTAACGTCAGTACACCCGTGTCGGGTGAAAGAAAGACAGGTTGTCTTTTAAATTATTTATTTGATAAACTAAAATAGATTTCTTGATTAAAACATAAAAATAATCTGATCATTACAGCCCTAAATCATACAATATCCGCTAACGCAGATTGGACGCAAAAAGGCGTCCTTTTTACTGTAGTTACAGCATAAAAAAAACTATTGTTCTACAGAAACCACTGGCGTGGTTTAGAACGTAAAAGATGCGTCCTGTCACCTCAAAATCACATGAAGAACTCTTACACAAAGATTTCACTCGTTTTGTTATCTGCGAAGAGAAACATAATTAGTTCCTTGTGTCCGGAAACTCCCAAAGGGTTTTATCTGCAGTCCTGCTTTTTGCAGGTATGGTCCATTTCGTCCACGAACAAACAGGAAGTTATACTTCAGCACCTGTGCCCGGGGGGGGGGAATGCTAGTAGCTGTATCGTCACAACCCCTTTTCTTCCCGGGGGCGAGGGTTTTTAGAACTCCAATTCAGGGTAGCTACCACAGCAAGTTTTCAAGGTAAACTAATTAGCAGTTATTAGCATTAATACATTTTACAACAACACTGGGCTAAGTACCAAGGATAAACATAACAAGAACTATATTGAGGCCAGTAAAAAAAACATATAATCAACATAATACTGAGAAATAAACTTAATTATACACATAAAAATAAAGAACGTATAATTTTCTGAAAAATGGAACATACATTCCTAAGTTTAATATTAATTATGTATCTAGCCAGGCTGAAAAGGGAAACCTTGCAGATTTTTAATTTTCCGTTTGTGATAAACTCTCAATGGTAATCCAACACCTGGATGAGAACTACTACATTTGACCTCAAAATAAACATGTACATTTAATTTGGCTTTAACATCAGAAAAAACCACTTCATTACAATTTGGATTTACATCATTCATGAAGTAGCTATATTTAATCCCCTTTGACCGTTCAGTATCAGGCACTAGTATAGATAAATGATAAACTGGGGATTCTTCTACTTTCCTTGGTAAATTTACAACTACTAGGTGTCTTGGGCAATTCTCCTACGGAATTCTAGGCATTCGCAAACCTCCCGAGTCTGGTTGGTACGAAACGTCATTTAGCTTATCTACAGTTTCTTGTTCGTGCCGAACCGAAAAGGTAATTCTTAACTTGTACACCTTTCCCAAAGAGTTACTGTGATCGTTTAACGCGACTAAGGGCCCTATTCACGACAAGGAGCGTAAATAACGAACTTCTCTTAACGGACGACCGCTAAATTTCACGGCTCCAGTAACCGTAAGGACTGTTAGTTAAATTGGCATTCATGACAACGGCCGTCGGAGGGAATCCTTACCTTCGTTCGAGAGTTGGGGAAGTTCGTTAAAATAAGCCAATCATATTACAGCTACTAGATATACAGGTGACTCATCAGCCATGTTCAAGCGTGGGCCTCGTATTGTAGCCACGCTTTAGGGTTGTATTTCAGGTTTGGGGTGCCATTTTTGGCTCTTTAGCGGTGTTCGCTAAAACGTTATTATTTAACATTCTAGGGTATCCAAACTTCCGATTTTTTGCATTCATATAAAGATGTGTGGCTTTTGACCCCCTTTTTTTCTCTGCAGCTTCTTTCTTGTATTTTTTTTAAACTGCCAAATTTCTCATATGATTTAAGTTATTTTAAAAGTTTCTAAAACATTTTTATATATTATATTTCACATTTGTATATTAGTTAAAAATACTTTCTTTACTGAATTTCAATTTTTACTTTTAAATACATTTATAATGTTAAGCATCTCAAAATCTATTTTTTGACAATAAATTTCTCCCAGCTGTATGCTTAAATTTTTATGATGTTGTACTGGATTTATAATCATACTTTCATAGTTATTTAACTTTTTTCCTTTTAGAATTCAAGGTAATTTCATGTGTCATATAAAAATTAGAAGTCTCTCAGTGCTCTATTTGTATGATAATTCTTAATTTCTCAGCTATGGCATTTCAATACTGATGGAGTTAAGCATATTACTTTTATTTACATTACATGTTAAAATATTTAGAGGCCATTAAAGCTGTGGGTACAAAATTGCTATGAATACAACTTCAGTAATTTTTAAGTTTCTAAAGCTTTCCTGAATCAACAGATAATTTTTTCTAAATTGTCAATAAATTTTTACATGATAAATACATAAGTGCATGCTGGCGCTTCAATATATCTTAGCAAGTTCACAGTTTAAACTTCTGAAAAAAATTAATAGCATGTCTGCATATAAAGCATGCTTTTTATTTTAAATATGCTATTTGAAGTTTGCTCATATGGAATCTAACATCTATTATTGTAGCAAACAGGTTAAAAATGTTATTTTGCATGCGTTTCCAGAAAAGGCAGCTAAAGGCTTTCATGATTTTAAGTAAATACTGGTTCAAGACATGCACCTTTAAATTATAATGCTTAGATTGAAGTGCAGAATGCTGTAAAAAAATACTTCAGTTCTCTGATGGCAAAAAAATAAATTTTTGTCATAGATTTAGTAGAGTAAAAATTCCACATCAAAAACATTTTTTTCACCTTTATTTAAGGTAAAACGAAGTTTAAAAAAATAATACATACATAAATAACATAAAAATAAATACCTTTTACGTACGGAATTTGCAGATATTATTTACTAATCAATTATTTGCTATTGATAGCTACTTTTTATAATACATAGAAAAAATACCGATACATTTATAAGAATTTACATGCATTAAATGATGAAAAAAAAAACATACGTATGCTGTTAATACTACACTTATCTGAATATTTAATGACAATTCCATAACCTATATACGATTCAATCTATACCACTGCAAGGACAATGCTTAAATCACAGTTCTTATTATTTAATTTCCATAATTTCCATATGTAAAAAACATAAAAATATCATTTAGCTACAGATGTATAGATTAAGGCCTCTTGTAACAAGCATATGCAAAACACATATAATGAAAATAATGCAAAATAGAAATAAATTGCACTACATTAGGAAAAAGAGTGAAAAGTCTTTTTCCTAATGTAGTGCAATTTATTCCATTATATTAAAATCTTATTAAAATACAGCAGTAATTTGATATTTTTTTCTATTATAAATCAACAGCTTTATATAGAATGATCTTACTTTACTGGATTCTTATTTAAATGAATGTATATGGAAATATCAAAATAAATGGGGGGGGGAGAAGGTCTGAATAAATGTTAGCCAACGCTGCTAAGATAATATTCTTATTTTCAATAAAATGTTTCAAGGTATATCATTTTAGTTTAGTTCTTTTTCTATTAAAGCAGCTAACCTAAAACATATACCTCATTAATTTGTTAAAAATATAGCTTAAGAAAGTTTTATGTGCATACTGAGAAGGCAGGAAAAAATAGCCTTGATTTAAAACCTGTTTTAAAGCAACAAGTATATAAAATACACTGGTTCTATTAGCATGTCAAAAAAAAAAAAAAAAAAAAAAACTGTTATGTACTCTAAAAACAAATTTCAAGTATCACATTATGATACATTACACTCTTACACAAGAACTATCAGATTAGGAATATACTCTTTTATGTATTTGATAACAAAGAAGAGTAAAACATATGTAACATCACATTATGAAAAATCCTGCAATTCATTACAATAATAAGGTAAAAATCATTTGATCGTTATTTCACAGTAGCACTAAGTTTTCCAATCAAAATTATGAATACGCCAAAACAAATTCACTGTCGGTGTCTCAAAATTAAGGTCATACAAAAGTAAATTTGATTTAGCTGAACATAAAATCTTCCCCGACAAATTTATGAACAAATTGATTTTCTTTAAATTGTACTTGCAAATTTAACAAAAACATGCATGAAATTTAACATTAAAATCTAAAGCACTAGTATTTAATAACAGTTACATGTATTAAATGAATTTAATCACACTTTTAAGAATGCAATTTTATGATAAATTTAAATCTTTATACAAAAATAGAATTAATTTTGTAAAGCTACTTAAAACATATTTCCTTGTTCACACATTTAAATAAATTTAAAGTAAGTATACTTAAAAATACAACATGAAGATTTACTACTAGATAACAATTAGTCGAATATTTAAATTAATACTTAACGTCTTCAAAATTCCTAAAAAATACATAATATATATCTTACTATAAAGAAAAAAACAAAATTATTTATAATTTAGATCACACTATCAAGTTTTTAACACTGGCGCCAACTAACAGATTTGGCGACAATATATTAGAATCAAAATAGAACGCTACTTTAAATTATCAGTCGTACAGTAAAATTAAATAAAAATAAAGCACATCACATTTTTAACCTAACTCAGCACAAAGTTTACATGAAATGTAGGATACAATTTTACAAACAGCATAAACTATTTGCGATAATAAAAGAAACATCACAAACAGTATTGGCGATAATTTTACTGCACAAACACCAATTCATTTTGTATTTATACAATCAGTTGATCGTCAATAAGTGACAATGAAATAAAAATACACATTCTGAAGAAATACGAAGAGTAATTTTTGTAACATTCTATGGAAAAATACGAAGCTGAACTTACCTCACCAACGACACTCTCCTGGGCCCGGAATTCATTAATCTTGGCGATAATTAATTATCCATTGTCTATATTGTATGTAAATCGAACGCATTGCTTCGATCACGGAAAATTCGCTGCTGACGCAGAGAAATTCGACTAATTTCATTCAAATACGCTTCAGCTAAAACTGACGCAAAACCTTCCGCCATGTTTATTACCGGAAATATAACCATCTGTTTATTTAACACGAAGGGTCAGACCTGTCCTTACTTTAACAGCCGTCTCGTCAATTTAACGGTCAAATTTAACGCTAGCTTTGATAAGAATACCAATACTTGCGATTTAACTACTTGTGACGTCAGAGTACCACGTGATTCCGTAAATCTCTCACTTAACGCTGTGGTTAAAAATGTCATGAATCGGGCCCTAAGTCACAAGATGGCTTTACAACGTCACTTTTCTTTTGTAGGTCCGCTATAAAAGAATATTTTATTGTAGGCAGTGATAGTTCATTCACTTTCGTTTCAGGCGGAAAGAAATTGGTTTTCTCTATCCTTTGTGTTTGAGACAAGACTTTACCCCTTTCTATAATGAGGGGAGAAACTTCGCTTGAGGGTTCGAGTTCGCCGCGTTCAGACTCCAGTGGACAACTTTTCCCCATTTCATTCTTTGATTGACTCGGAGCTCGAATACCTGTTTTCACCTGAAAGAAAAGTTTATCGTGTTGATCTACGGCTAATTTTTCGGCGGTTCTGTTTCCTAACAGATAATGTTCCAATTCATTTCGAGTGACCGCTGCTTTTGTTGTTACTTGGCCAAAAGTTCCTTCTATTGTAACATTTGCTAAGGGTACACAAATTGGGGCCTCATCAAACGGGTGTTTGACCCAAACAGTCTCGCCCGTCAGCATCGAAGGAGTGAGATATTTCTTGCAAATTACGTCAATGCATGACCCGGTATCTCTCAAAACTGGAAGATCAAAACCGTTCACTTTAGCCATCGTTAGATACGGGGCTAAACAATCTTCTTCAATCTCCTGGACTCTATTTACAATAAACGGAGTTTTGAGATCTCTTTTAATTTCCGGACATTGAGGCCTTAAGTGTTGGGTTGAATCACAAGAATAACACTTAAGGGGTCTTCTCATATCAAATTGACGCTCATCCTGATTCCGGAGATGTTCCTTTCTGTCAGAGGCATATCTATCTTCCCCTCCAGACTGGTGATACTTTTGCGGATCCCTCGAATTAAAATTATTTATATTTCCCCTTTGTGACTCCGAACTATGAACAGGAGAGATCTTCTTTCGGGGTTCACGCACATTTTCATATTCTTCTAGCATTTCCGCTAATTTCTCTGGAGTCGTTATCTTCGACCATTCGTCAATAAAATGTTGCCGCACTTCGGCATTTACACGACGCTTCATTTGGTCCGTTATCATGAGATCCTTTAAAAGTTCAAAATCCGTAACTTCCAAACCTGCAATCCATTCTTCAAAATAATTCCTTAATTCAAAGGCAAAATCTCTCCAAGTGGTTTGGGGGTGTTTCTGAGATTGCACGAATTTGATGCGAAATTTTTCTGGACTAAGTTTGAACCTTTTAAGCAGTATCCCTTTTATATAAGCGTAATCATAAGCCTGCTGTTCTGGTTCTCGCATAATCAGCTGAACTATGTCAGTTGGCAAAATTGTCAATAAAACCGAAACCCATTCTGATTGGTGAAGATTCGCACGCTTTGCTTGGCGCTCAAACATGACTAGATACAAACTGATATCGTTCTCTTCAGGATCAAATTTTGGCATCATTTTTTTTAGATCGTATCGGCTTTTTTTTAGTCCATTTTCTTCATTCCCACCATTTCCAGAGTCATTTCCGTTAGCGGCTAGTAAACGTAACTTGGATAATTCAAATTCCATTTCTTCTCTTCTAATTCTATCCTGCCTTTCTTCTTCTTCTCTCCTAATTCTTTCCTGCCTTTCTTCTTCTTCTCTCCTAATTCTTTCCTGCTCCTTTTTTTCTTCTCTCCTAATTCTTTCTTGCCTTTCTTCTTCTTCTCTTCTAATTCTTTCTTGCTCCTTTTTTTCTCTCTCAAGCCTCGTTGAAGTGATATTTTCTAACAGGCCTTTCACTAGTTCCTCCTCATAGGATTCATTTCCCATAATCAGCTGTCTTAAATCCAATATCCTAAGTTCAGGGCTAACTTTTTCCCCTAACTCTTCAGCCAAGGATTTAAGATCCTCTTTCCTAACTTTTGCTAAGAATGCCATGATATAACCAAAATTATGATCCTAACAATTTTAGCTCCCTCACACTACAGATACATACAATTGATTTAAACAGATATCATTTTCACAAGAGAGAGTAAAAATTAAACTTTTATAATTTTTTTCACAACCTATTTTACAGATGTTAGACAAAAACAAGACAGTTTAACACTATAATATGCACATTATGCATTTAAAAATAAAAACAAAAATTGTCTACTTGAGGACGTATGAAACTACAAATAATATTATCCTCTGAAAAGCTTTAAATTCAGTTGCGTAAAACACACTTGCTTATGATAATACAATATACTTTCCTCAAAATTTGGGATATGTTAAAATATGCATTCAGAAATACAATAAATTACACAATACCTATCCATATGCTAGTAATTAACATTAATATGACAACAGTTAAAAGGAAAGATACTGGGGGTTTTATCATTCCCCTTTTACTCCTTCAATAGAAAAAAAAAAAAAAAAATTCTCAGTTCTTACACAAATAAAAGTTTGACACACCTTAACTGAAATTCTAATATTTATAACATTCAAAACGTCTTAGAAATGATATGTCAGAATGCCACCTAACATTAAAACCTTCAAGTTACAGTAATTCTACTCCTTTACACAATCCAATATATAAGTTTAATTTAAGCACAACACATTAACATTTCAGATATTAAAAAAAATCTATTAACACAGGTTTAAATTCTAAATTTTATACTTTCTTATTGTAACATAAAACCCAAAAAGCACATTTCTTTAAGCTTTACAGGAACAAGTTGACTTAAAACAGTTATGTGAACTTACATACTGATTTACAGAAATAAATTAAATTACTTTACTGCCTCAATATAAAAATCCAAGGTACTTACCCGGATTGGAAATTGGAGACTTCGCTTCTCACAATTTTAAGATTTTATGGACACTGATGATCCAGGCACCTATAACGCACACACACAAGATCTGATGATCTAAATTTTCTCGATCACAAGGGTGATCACCCACATATCACTTTTTCAATACTCTACACATCACAATGATCTGATGATCTTCGGACAATGATTGTCCCACACGCTCACTGCGGTAAATTTTCTCGAACACAAAAGATGATCGCACAAGTAACACCTTTATCACCGCGCTTAAAGATGAGCTTATTTCAGGAGACTGTCGTTCCTCTTTTTCTGGACTGATGTCCGTAACTTCTTCGTGGATTCTATTCCCCACTTCGAAGAGCTGTAAATCACTTTTCGAACGGATGTTCGTAAATTCGTGCTGCACTTCAGAGCCTGGCGGTCTGTACTATCTGCAAACACTTGATGATGTTCGGACAATGGCTGTCCTACAAACTCGAGATGAATTTCAGACTCGGACGGTCTGCAATCTCTGCATGGATTTTCTTATCCCGTCGCTTCGGAGAGCTGTAATCACTTTTTCGAACTGATGTTCGTAACTTTTCGTGCTGCACTTCAGAACCTGACGGTCTGTAATATCTGCAAAACACTGTTGATATCCGGACAATGACTGTCCCACAATCTTGAGATGAATTTTTAGAGCCTGACGGTCTGTAATTTCTGCATGGATTTTCTCATCTGAACCGCTGCCACCATTTATTATAGCTGTAACGTCAGGACACCCGTGTCGGGTGAAAGAAAGACAGGTTGTCTTTTAAATTATTTATTTGATAAACTAAAATAGATTTCTTGATTAAAACATAAAAATAAACTGATCATTACAGCCCTAAATCATACAATATCCGCTAACGCAGATTGGACGCAAAAAGGCGTCCTTTTTACTGTAGTTACAGCATAAAAAAAAACTATTGTTCTACAGAAACCACTGGCGTGGTTTAGAACGTAAAAGATGCGTCCTGTCACCTCAAAATCACATGAAGAACTCTTACACAAAGATTTCACTCGTTTTGTTATCTGCGAAGAGAAACATAATTAGTTCCTTGTGTCCGGAAACTCCCAAAGGGTTTTATCTGCAGTCCTGCTTTTTGCAGGTATGGTCCATTTCGTCCGCGAACAAACAGGAAGTTATACTTCAGCACCTGTGCCCGGGGGGGTGCTAATAGCTGTATCGTCACAGCAGACATGAATTGACTGAAAAGCACGCGCGTGGCAGGGCAGCAAGAAGGCTCTTCTCTCTTGGCTAAAAGCCACTACTTTAATACCTATACAGTTTGCAACCTCAATTAGCATAAATAATTCATACTGGCGCTTATACGGGCCGGAAATGGAAAATAAGAGAAGATAGCAAAGTTTCAAAATAAAATAAACGTTAATAAAACTTAAAATCCTTATAGAGCTACCAGATTTTAAACACATGTATTCCTCCACCCGAGCATGTGTACGTCAAAGTTAGAATTCTGAATTTCGAATTTGGTTTTTAACCGGGTGGGCGTTAGCCCGAATGGACTATTAGTCTAGAAACGGAATTTGGCGGCGTATCACTTTAAATGTCTGAATCACTTTTCAAATTATTGCCATGAAATATGATCGCTTTGTATTACTTTTAAAGTCGTTAAATCACGAAGAAGCTACATATGAATATAACATTCATGAATTTAATTTATAATTAATGAATTTAATTTAATAATTTCATGATATGAATATAACATTCATATGTTTCTCGCCCTATTAAAACATGACGGTACCTAGGGCCATCAAATTTTGGATAACGTATTCCTCCACATGAATATGTGCACCAGGATGCCTGAATTTCGAATTTTATAGTTCATATTTTCTAAAACTTTAATGAACGTTTAAGAAACTCAATGATTTGAAAGAGAGCAGTGGCAAAACTGAACGGATTCGATTATTGTTATCTCGGAGTGCGAGACTCAAAAATTCGAAATTTAAATATTTTCTGATTTTGCTTTTCAAATAAATTTTATTTCATTTCATGAAGAAATTTAAGTAAAAAAAAAAAAAAAAACATATAGGTTGTTTGCATTTCGTGTAAAGGGCAATTTAAAATTTTCTTTGAAATCTTGTAACAAATAGTGTATTGTATTATTGATAAAATTCTGTAAAAACATTAGCAATGAGAAAGGGGAAATATTGCAAAAAATTGTAAAACACAGTATATGCATCTTAATACCAATATTTAAATTTAAACAAATTTAAATTCTTAACAAATACGTATAAAAGTAAAAAAGTAAAAAGGCAAATTTAAATTCTGAAAAAAGGAAAAAAGCCAAAATAATTTAAAATAATTTTTAAAAATGCAAAACATGTAAAAGATTTAATTCTCGAACTAATCTTCAATATCATTTAAATTCAGAAGCATAAGCAAATCAAGTGCAAAATCTATCTATGAAAATAAATCTATTAATTTAATAAATTAAAATTAAATTAAACAATTTTTTTAAAAAATGCATATGTGAATGATCGTAGAGTAGGCAGGAGACAGACTTATCAAGAGGAAGTTGCCTCCAAACCTAACTCTCCAATCATTCAATTCGTGTTTCGTCATTCATGCAGGCAAGGGTAAAAGTCAAAACCAAAAGTAATTCCAATAAAGTGGTATCCTTAGAAATTTATATTTAAGTATTAACATTTAAGAATTAAAGTTCAAAAAGGAAAATACTAATTAAGTCTTTTGAGAAACAAGCAAGTAAAGTCAAGAATTAAACTTTTTCTTAAAAAATTAAATTTTTTTTTAAATTAATTTTTTATAAAAAATAAAAAAATCTAGAAACCAATGTATTTTAGAAATCCTTGTCTACAGAAACTTCCCCTACACGAATATGCATATCAATAAAAAGAAACTATAAAAGAACTATATATAATCCATATAAACCAATAAGAAATAAATAAAAAGAAACAAAAAGAACTAATTCACAATTTTTAAAATAAATATATATTTAAAAATATAATTTCATATTTAGAAAATACTTAGATACTACATAAAAAATTAAATACTTAAAGCAAGTAAATAGTAAGTTTTAATTCTAACTTACCTACTATATGAGTGTTGGGGTCTGCAAAAGTGTTGTGAAAGAGAAGTAAGTGTGTTCTTCAAATTATATAGATGGCACTTATGTAGGTAAAGTTGAGTGTCAAGCTGCTATCTTTGTTATAGTAAAAATTTTTTTTAATATTAATATTAATAAATTAAATTAAATTAAAAATCCTAAAGGTAGTAATATAATTATTTAGGGAGTTAAGTAACTGAGCTAATCAACAGATGTATGTTTGCTTGAAGGAAATTAAAGTGAAGTGGTATGTGAAAAAAAATGTAAACTGTTTGTAATTTGAAATGTGTGTTCTTTTGAAAAATTGTGAAAATTGTTAAAAAAAATTGTTGAAAAAATTTAAGTGAAAGATATTTTTTGTGAAAATTGCAAAAAATTAATTAATACCAATATTCATGGTTTTAATATTTTGCAAATATTGCTTTTAAGCCAGTTTCTCCCAAAATTCTATGTTGATTTATGAAGCGATTTGTAGCCGGAGTGGCATATAGGGTACTCAAATGGAGAAAGCAATGAAATTCATTCTTCTCATTATAATTGCTCAGAACTAAACAAGGGAAGTAACTTAAAAAATTAAAGCAAAATCTGTTTTTTAAATAACAAAACAAAGATATTTAACAATGAAAGATCGGAGATTTTATTAGCAATCAGAATCTGATACAGTTCAATAAGTCAATCAAGCAGAAAGGAAAATTCACTGAAAAGCATTAACAAAATATAAAGCAAAAAATAATGAATTAGAAAAATTAGATGCTGATTCAAATTAGCAGAAATATGCTAACAATCCAAACCGGAGGAAGCACTTAACAATGGGTATGAACAAATTAATTTCTTAAATTAACTGAAAATTAATTAAAAGAAAAATGAAGAGTTTAAAAATTTTTGTCAAAACTAAGGTACGAAAATGAATAAGAATCTAATCGCTGTCCGTAACTTAGGGAGCCAATGCAGACTGAAATTATGATGACGTCTGAGGTCACGTGACTGTACATAACTATGACGTCACGAAACTCACGTGATCTTTGACGTCATGCGCTACTGTTTGCGACTTTTTGATTCTTCTCTTGCTACTTTAGTTGAAAATTTTCTGGTAACACCGTATAAAACTAGAGTTTTTCTCCATATGAAGCTCAATTTCATTAAGATATTCTGCCGGAAGAACAATGAATTAATTTCAC